TTTTGGGACAGAGAGAGACAGAGCATGAACGGGCGAGGGGCAGAGAGAGAGGGAGACACAGAATCGGAAACAGGCTCCAGGCTCTGAGCCATCAACCCAGAGCCCGACGCGGGGCTCGAACTCACAGACCGCGAGATCGTGACCTGGCTGAAGTCGGACGCTCAACCGACTGCGCCACCCAGGCGCCCCTTGGATCTCTTCTAACCTATATACCTTCCATATCACTGTGGCCAAGGCACCCTTACAAAACAATTATTCTGCTCAGGAGCTACCTTTTCAAAAACTTCTGGTTTTCTGATCCTTTGTGTCCCTGTTTATTGAATTGCTGCCACCCGAACCTGTTTTCTCTTAGCTATTTGATTTGTTCTCTTCTCCCTGCCTTTCAGCCTCCCGGCTTTCTCCCAACTCCTCCCTGCGTGCTACCTAAGTTGGCCGCCTGACCACATGATTGCTTTCCTACAGGAGAGGCCCTTTTCCCTGGAGATCTGAAAATGCACCTCGCTCTAGGCTCCGAGGTCTGGGCTCTCCCTGGATAACACTCTCTGGTTCCTCCTGGTCCCAGAGCTGGGGGGCCCCTTCCATATTTCCTCTCCTATTTGCTGCCCCTCTTGGTACTGCCTGCCCTTGGCTGTCCTTCTCTTGGTCTGCATCGTGGCTCAAGTTGTGCTGGGCCCAGGAGCAGTTTTGCTTTCCTGCTGCCCAGTGACCTTCATCCTCCCCAGAGGCCTGGGAAGGAAGTGGTGCCAGGAAGTCAGGGAATCCAGGTTCAGGCCCTGGTTCTGTGGCTCTCTGGCCATGGCCGTGTTTCCCAATCTTTCTGAACCTCATTTCTCCTACTGAAAAGGGGTGATTTTGAGACCTCCCCCACTGGGATGATGGGGTAACTAGAGCTCGGGGTCTGCATAGAGAGGGGGTGATTCATACAGGCGTAGTCATTTTGACTGCAATTATTGTCACCAAATAAACTTCAACACAGTGGTGCTAGCCCTGCTTCTTGAAGGTGTAGCGAGCACATCATTCTTCTCTCCCCACCCAAGGCTGGTTTGAGGTCCTGTGGAGGTTCTGGCTGCCCCACATGGGGCTGGGACTCAGGGTATGACCCCTGGAGCCTGAAGTCTTCGGTCCAAGGCATCCAGGTGCTGAAAGGATGAATTGAGGGCATCCGGCTCACACAAATAGCTCAAGGCTGGAGATACTAGTGGCCTGACTTATCAAATAACTGGTTCCTTAAAAAAAAAAAAAAAGACTCAACAATGGCATAGGCATTCCAATCTCCTCTGTCCTGCCAGGGTGCTGGAGTTCTGGGACTTCTGTTCCCTAATCCGCCCCTCTAAATGGATATGGAAACCACTGGCCAGCAGGGATTTGCTCCATGTGAGACAGAGGGGTAGTGTGCCCGTTGCACTCACAATTTAATGTCTGTGATCTGCTAAGCCCTTTGGCTGAGCTCTTCCTCTACCTTTCTGGGGTGTCGAATGTGGCCTGTCACACAGTCGCTGGGCAGGCACTGGGCCCAGTGCTTCTTGACTTCTGGAGCCAGGCTTGGGGCAGAGACTGTGAGAATGGAAGCTCCACAGAGGCACCCTGACGGTGACCACCACGCTTCAAGGGGACTGAACTGGGTTCCATATTCCAGCTAACCAGGAGGAAGACTTCTCTCCGATTGGCTTGTCTAAAAGCAACTCTGATCATGGCTTCTTCCTCCAACTGCTTACCTTCAGTGTTTTCCTGTTGCCTTTGGATAAAGACAAAATTCTTAACATGATCTTCAAGGCTCTGCCCGGCCTGGTCCGTAGGTGCCCCTGCAGCCCCACTCTGTCCATTTCAGTGCCTCGCCCTTCCCTTTCCCTTTTATTGAATGCCCACTCCTCTTTCAGCCTGGGTCACCTCAAAACTGGTGTGTCTTAAACCAAACTATGGGTGTGTTGAATTTATTTCATATTTAAAGTTTATTTATTTTGACAGAGAGAGAGACAGAGAGAGAGAAACAGAGAGTGCAAGCAGGGAAGGGGCAAAGAGAGGGGGAGAGAGAGAATCCCAAGCAGGATCTGTACTGTCAGCACAGAGCCCGATGTGGGGCTCGAACCCACGAACTGTGAGATCATGACCTGAGCAGAAACCAAGAATCGGACGCTTAACTGACAGAGCCACCCAGGCTCCCCATGAGTATGTTGCGTTTCAATGCCTACAGGATAGCTACTGGGGATAATTAGAAGTTGGATAAAAGGTCTAGAGCAGGGGGTACAGATTTAGGAATCCTCAACACGTTAATGACAATTGAAGCCACAGCTATAGGCGAGCCTGCCAAACAGGGTGTAGAGGGAGAAGAGAGGGCAGCTGGGACAGGGCTCTGGGGACACTAGCAGTTAAGGGATGGGCCGAGGACGAGGGGGAGACTGCAGTGGAGATTGAGAAGGAACCGTCAGAGTGATAGGAGGAGAACCCAATGCCGGGTCCGGAAAGACCAGGTTTCTAGCAGAGGCATGGCCCTCCATGTGGCAGAGAAGCCAGCACCCAGCAAGAGTGCCTGCAGGGCCTCGGGTCAAGCACAAGTGGGGCAGGGCGGACTTGAGTGAGGGGTGGCAGCAGCAGGTGACACAGCTCTCTGTGTGGAGGATCATTTATTAGGAGGGGGAAAGAGTTTTATTTTAAAGAAAAAGTTTAAAGATGAATATAACTGCCACACCTGTACTGCTGCCACTGTTTAATACATTTTGCACGAGAAGGACGTGCAGTCTAGACAGATATTCTGCTTAGGGGTCAAGGTGGGAGAGACTTGAACCCAGTTTGAAGGCTGACGAGAATAAGCCATGGACGGGGTAGATGCTGAGGAAGTTGGGGTGAGGGTGCTTGAGGGCAGAGGTCAAGGGCTCTGGGAAGAGGGTCAGGCACCTCTGCCCAACCCCCAGGTACTCTAAGAACCTATGAGTGAAAATACTACTACTGCTCCTGCTCCCGAGTTGCCCCCTCCCTGTTTTCACCTTCTCCCTGAGAAGCTCCAGGTGGCCTTCAGAGAATAGTTGGGAGGTCTGGAGCTCCAGGTGGCTCCTGGGCTGTAAGGTGGGAAGCCCCAGCTTATAGGGGAATCTGCTTCTTGGGTGGGGAGGGAAGTCAGGGCAGAAGTTAGGCCAGCACTGCAGAATAAAACTTTTTGAGACCGAGGAAAAGTTATAGATCTGCACTATCCAACATAGTAACCACCAGCCTCATGTGGCTATTAAGCACATAAGTATGGCTAGTAGAACTAAAGAACTGAACATTAATTTTATTTCATTGTAATTGACTTAAACAGCCACATGTGGCTAGTGGCTACTTTATCGATCAGCCCAGCTTTAGAACTCCATCAAATTGCACTATCTGGGCAGAGCTGATAGAGAATGAAAGTTAATGAGGATTTCACAGAAAGATGTGTCAAAGAACAGAACCTCAAAAGAGGAAACATGTTACTTTCCTCTTATAGAGTTTAAACAGGAAATATGCCTATTTCTCTAAAAAACATGAAGTGTGATAAGAACACTGAGAATAAAATAAGGATGTATATATAAATGAACAACAAACATTCAAAACAAAATCCCTTCATTTACTTCTAAAATCTTTAAATATCCTACACATAACGCTGACTTCTTATAAGGCTGTTTAGTTTCTTCTGTCAAGAATTAGATCTCACAAACTTACAAGAAGACCATGGGGGAAGGGGAAAAAATAGTTTCAGAGAAGGAGGCAAACCATAAGGGACTCTTAAATATAGAGAACAAACTGAAGGTTGATGGTGAGAAGAGGGGAGAAGGGAAAATGGGTGATGGGCATTGAGGAGGGTACTTGTTGGGATGAGCACTGGATGTTGTATGTAAGTGATAAATCATGGGAATCTACTCCCGAAGCCAAGAGCACACTGTATACACTGTATGTTAGCTGACTTGACAATAAATTATATTTGAAAAATAAAAATAAAAAACATTCATAGAAAAAAAAAAAGGAATTAGATCTCACATCTTGTTAGACCCAAATCCATCCATCCTTCTTTCCTTCCTTCCTCCCTCCCTTCCTTCCTCTCTCCCTCCCCTACTCTCTCCTTTTTTTAAAATCTTAGAATTCTTTTTTTTTTAACTCTTTTAAAAAATGTTTATTGGGGCGCCTGGGTGGCTCAGTCGGTTAAGCGTCTGATTTCGGCTCAGGTCATGATCTCGCGGTCCGTGGTTTCAAGCCCCGCGTCGGGCTCTGTGCTGACAGCCTGGAGCCTGTTTCAGATTCTGTGTCTCCCTCTTTCTCTGACCCTCCCCTGTTCATGCTCTCTCTCTCTCTCTCTCTGTCTCGAAAATGAATGAACATTAACAAAAAAATTTTTTCTTAATGTTTATTTACTTTGACAGAGAAAGAGAGCAGGGGAGGGGCAGAGAGAGAGGGAGAGAGAAAATCCCAAGCAGGCTCTGTGCCATCAGCACAGAGCCCAATGCGGGGTTTGCACTCATGAGCCATGAGATCATGACCTGAACCAAAATCAAGAGTCAGATACTTAACCGACTGAGCCTCCAGGCACCCCCATCACAAAACCAGTATTATAGTAACATAAGAGAAATGTTTAAAAAGAAATATATATATATATATAATCCTCCACCATTCAACCCAACTGCTGTCATCCAATCATTACCTTACGAAGGCTCTGCAAGGGTCTGGTTGTCAGGACTGACTATGAGGGCCTGGGGAGGACAGGGTGGGTCAGGAGGGGTGTGTGTGTGTGTGTGTGTGTGTAGCCTTTGGTGGATGGAGAAGAGATGTCTAACAGGTAGCTCTATAGGGAGTAATCTCCCCATATGCCTTTGTGGGTCGTTGGGAAAACATCTCTTGCTTGTCTTTGCAGTCACCTATATAAGAAGAACCTCGACGTGACCAAAATCCACAAGGGAAAACCTCAGCCACTTCTTAGAGTGGAGGACCATGATTTCTCCATGAGACCCGCCTTTGGAGGTAGGACTGAGTCCCCAGGGGCTGCCTGCTGCCCTGTCCTGCTCTGTCCTGTTCCCTCAGGCACAACCCTCCCTTGGGGCCCCAGTTTTCCCACTCACAGTCAGATAAGCCCAAACCGGCTTCCGAAGTCTCTCATTTCCTCAAGGAGAGAAGAGTTGAAAGGAGATGAGCTAAGAAGGCTGTTGGCTGAAGTGTTGCTAATGGTTAAGATGTCTACGACCAGAGTGGACCTGCCTTGCTGCTGCCAGCTTTCTTTTCCTAAAACATGAGCCAGCCTGGAGAGTCTGGACACAAAATGGCTCCCCTGGGTCAGCCACCATTCCCAATGATTAGCTGGGAATTTGGGGTTTTGAGGGCCACCTGCCTTTCAATGCAACAACAACAATTTAACCCATGATGAGTCCCCTCATAAACTTGGCCCCTAAGGAGCTTTGCTGCTTTGCAGTCAGGGACGGGTGGCCAGGCTGGTGGCCGTCCTTTCTTTCCAGGAATTGGAGAAATGCCACAGGAAGGCCAGGAAAGGAGCCATCTGCTCTCAACAGGCGGGGAGTGGGGTAAGAATAGCAGAATGTGCAAGATGTGCCCCGCCAGCACCCCCCCTCCCCACTTGTGTACTTGGGAAACTGAGGTCTGGTGCATTTCAGCCAACAGGTACTGGCCAAGGCAGACCTGGGCAAGCTGGCTTCCCTTTCCCTTTATTTCCATTTCCAGATCTTCTCTTAGGGCCCTAGGGCTGTAGGGGTGACCTGCAGGCAAGTCACAGATCCTCTCTGAGCCTCTGTTTGCTGGTTTGCAAAATGGGAATTGTAATCCCTACATCTGGGGTTGTTGTCAGGATTAAAGGAGATAATGTATGTAAAGCCCTTGACACATAAGGATTCAAGTCCCTTTAGAAAAACCCAGCTGTCAGGTCTGCCTCTTGTGTGACTGTTATGGGATTAGACATTAATTCATCCCAGGGGCCTTTGCATTTTAAAAGGCTGCAAAGCCTCTCACTCAGTTCTCTGAGCTCTGACACCTGCAGAGCAGGAAGAGAAAAGTAGGAGGCAGATTATGGTCCCATGTGCCTTCTTCCTGCCCAGGAATGTTGTTCATCACTGGCTCAGGTCAGGAGGTTACCAGCTCCCCAAGGGCTCACCATGATAATGCCCACAAGGAATTTTATGAAAATAAAGTTTTCCTAAATAAGCCACTCTAAAATAGCTGTATCTGCTCCAAGAGGTCTAAGTGAGACATTCCTGTCACAAGGAAGATCCACCTTGCCTTTCTGGTAGAGTGTCAGTTAAGTGGCTAGGACAATAAATACACAAAGGCATTAATGACAGCACTTTGATACTGGTTTTTCTGCACCAGGCACCATTCTAATCAAGGTATGTACATACAGGATCTTATTTCAGTCCTCAGGACTGCTCTGTGATGTAGATACTATCATTTTTCCCAGATGGGGAAACTGAGGCCTAGAGAGGTGAACTCACTGGGTCAGGTCACACTCCTGCTGAGGTTAGGCCCTCCCTCCTGGCAGAGTGTCTTTTCTTGTACTTTCGACTTGTATGTCCCTCGATGCAGGGCTGACATACCCATCAGGCAGAGTAGGCATAGTGTTAAAGGATCACAATGATATTCTTAGGGACCCCTGAAAATATTTTAATGTATTTAAACACTTTTCTTCTTTTAATGTTTTGTTTTTGAGAGACAGAAAGAGAGCATGAGTGGGGGAGGGGCAGAGAGAGAGAGAGAGAGAGAGAGAGAGAGAGGGAACCCAAGCAGGCTCCAGGCTCCCATCTGTCAGCACAGAGCCTGACACGTGGCTCAAACCCACAAACCATGAGACCATGACCTGAGCCAAAGTCAGACGCTCACCCCACTGAGCTGCCCAGGTGCCCCTAATGACTCTTACCATCTGTAATCTCTGGGAGTATCTGAACAAGGGTTAGAACCAAGAAGCTTTCCCTACAGGTATTCCTGAGGGTCTCCATTCCATCCAGCACCTCATCCTTGGGCAGGGGACACTGCCCAGGTGGCAGGCAGGTCTCTGAGGAAGGAGACTGGCAGACATAGGTGACTCTGCAAGTAACAGACTCTGTGCAAGTAACTCCTTACTTGTTGGCAGCCCTGTGCCAGGAGCCTGGTAAGAAGCAGAGCCTGGGCCCAACCTGCCCTCATGCTTGCCCCTCCTGACTCCCTCCCCGGCTTAGCACCCACGCACACTAAGCAGGTCATTTGAACAAAGATGTTGTGAAGTTATGTCTTATTCCTGTCCTCTCTTCCTATTTTATTTCTATAAGAGGGGCTTCCTGAGGATTGATGTTTAAAAGTAGTTGATAAAGAAGAATTTATCTGAGGCTAGATACCCCATGGTGACCTTTTCGGTCTGGAAAGAGAACAGATTAAAAATCTAGCAGCTTCCTAATAATCCCAGGGATCAGTTGAAACAAAAATACCTTGCCTAAGCTCCCAGCTGCCTGATTCAGTAGTGCATCCTGGTTAGAGGAAACTCCAAAGACCTGGGGTGTCTCCTCCATTTGTTAGGAGATATGCTGCAATGGAGGCTTTTTTAATATTTAGTTTTTAAGAAATTGTGGTAAAATACATATAACATAAAATTGACTATGTTAACCATTTGTAACTGTACAGGTCAGTGGCATAGCTATCCAACCATCACCCCCACCCATCTCCAGAATGTTTTCATCTTCCCAAACTGAAACCCTGTCCCCATTAAAAAGTTAACTCCAGCTCTTTCCTTTTCCCCAGCCCCTGGCAACCACCATTCTACTTTCTGTCTCTAGGAATCTGACCACTCTCGGTACCTCGTGTAGGTGGAATCATACCGTTTTTGACTGGCTTTTGTGACTGGCTTATTTTGTTTACTTTTATTTACTTATTTATTTTTGTTATAGCACAATTTGTATATTTCAAGAAGACAAAAAATTAGTATTGTGTACAGTATCTTAAGATAAATTGCCTTTGAATGGGAGCTTCCCTCCCAGTACTTTGAGGTCTACAAGGCACATCTAGAAAATTTACTTCTGTGGAAACTGAGGACTGCTTAAATTGAATGGCAGGGAGGGAGAGGGCCTGTGGTTTTTCTTTTTGATTAATTGCTGTAACACTGTCCTTTGGGCGACTGAGGGAGTCTCATGTTTTCTTTAGACATCATTAGGCCCCAGAGCTCTTGCAGGACAACTTTGACGCCGTATGAATTCTGCCATCTTGCCAGCACTGATGAGAATGACGGTAGTGAGTTCTCACTCAAGTTTGTGCAGCTTTAAAAGAATGCAGTTGAGGAGGGAGTCATCATCAATCTGGCTTATTTCTTTTAACATAATGTCCTCAAGCTTCACCCATGTTGTAACATAGATCAGCATTCCCTTCCTTTTTAATAATATTCCACTGAATGCATAGATCACGTTTGGTTTATCCATTCATCTGTTAGTGGACATTGGGTTGTTTCCACCCTTCGGAAATTATGAATTATGCTTCCACGAACATAGGTGTACAGATACCTGTTTGAGATCCTGATTTTAATTCTTTGGGGGTATATTCAGAAGTGGAATTGCTGGATCATAGGGTAGTTCAGTTTAATTTTTTGAGGAACCTCCACACTTTCTTCTACAGCAGCTGTACTTTTTACATTGCCACTAGCACGATGTTGATATTTAATGCAAATTGTATACAGGGGAGGTATAGGAGGGATGGAGTGTCACCACCCTACTGTGGGTAGGAAAAGAAAAGCAGCTCAGGGGCTGAGGTGTGCTCTCCTTGCCCTGCCACATGCCGGCCTAGAATTCTGAGGAGTCTGAGAGTTCTGAAGTTGGACTTAACCTTCAGGATTGTCGTGAAGGTGCATTTATCAAAGAGGTAGGATAGACTATCTGTAATTTTGCAGTATCTTTGCTTGATTTATAACCTTCAGATATACATATGGCATATGGGTCTCTGGTTGTGCTCTTGCCAGAGGTTGACCCGCAAATGTTGTTGCTGTCCATAGACGTCACCTCCTGGCACCTGGCACCAGGGAGGAGAGTGGGCCCAGAAGGGCAAACCTCGAGGTCAGCACTGGGTGGGTTGAGATTGAGTGACTCAGAGAGACCCGAAGACTGAACCCAGCCTTTGACCAGGGGCAGGTTGGGACACCATCTGGGCCAAAAGCACCTTCCCCACATCAGTTTCTAGAACAGAACGCTTCCTGTGTTAAATCCACACAGCAAAGGGCTGAATTCAGCAGAGAAGGTATGCAGCATTGGCTCATATGTTTCCTTGAGGTAACTGCAAACCCAATGTGTCCTTCACTTCATGAGCCTGCCAATTTTCTGTCAGCTTTTTCTTGGGCAACTCAGGCTGGAAGGTGTTGAGCCCAGCTTGGGTTTGCCCTCCTTCTCCTCCAAGTCAACCAGCTTGAATCAATTCACCCATTAAACTCTCACTCAGATCTGCCCCCTCCTTCCCCTCCCTCATCCCCTTACACCACCCATTCTCAATATGCTCTTGGGGGGTGAAAAAAGTCTCAGATGTTATAGTGGTTTGTGGCCCTCCAAAGCTCAGTCCTCCCTAACAAAGTCTTTTTCCTTAGTATTTTATTTAAATTAAAATTAATTAAAACCTTAAATTCCACTAGAATTTTCACTTTAGGGGGCAATAAAGGTGAGAAGTTTGGGAGCACTGCTCACGGCAACACAGTGGTTCCCACCCCACTCACGGTCAGGTTCACCTCCTGGAAACATCGCTTCCGTGCGCTGCTCCCTCAGAAACTGCAGGCTCCCCATATTCTTCAAGAGGAAATGCAGCCCCTGCTTCTCCCTGCTGGGTCCCAAGACCTCCACAGTCTTCTCCCTGCTACCCCTGACGAGGACTCTTCCCTGCTAGAACGCTTTCTGTCCCTGCACAGCCATGCTTGTTTCTGCCTATGAGCATCTGTTCCCAACGCCCCTGCTCCATGCTGCCCTGCTTCATCCATCTAGCCAGAACCCACTTTAACTCCTCTCCTCTAACATGTGGCATCT